AAAGCAAGAAATCATCTCCAGAGGGGATGGTCACATCGCAATCCCTTCTCCTCCATTCTTCTCTCTGGATCCTGGTCATGCACGCACACGCGCCCGGCGTGAGTTTAAGCCACCGGGTCCACGGAGCCCAACCCGGGCTGTGTTCATGGGCGTGACATAGCTATTATGCCAACTGCTGGTCCCCCTAAAATAATTCTTAAAAAAAACTCATTACTGGGACCAGCAGGTGGCATGGTGGTTAAGGCAGCTGGACTCACATGTGGGTAACCACAGTTTGAGTCCCGGACCTGGCAGTTTGCTTTCTCACTTTCCTTCTCTTTCTCTCTCTGGTCAACTTCCAAAAAATTTTTAAAAAAGAAGTAAAATAATGGTAATGAATAAAATTAAATTAAAAATAATTCTTTTCTAAAAAAATTCATTATTGGGGCCAGCAAGGTGAGTGGTAGTTAAGGTGCTGGATCCCACATGGCTGAATCTATGGCTCAAGTCCCAGATGTGGATACTCAAAAACCATGCTGTGCGTGTGTACCCAAAATCCCAAGAGAAGAATGAAGGATAAGGGACTGCTGGTAGCCATCACCATCAGGGCTGACTTCTCACTTTCCCTTCTTTACTCTCTCTGTCTCTCTCAGCAAGCACAGGTAAAAATCTGTGTGTGTGTGTGGGTGTGTATAAATTCATGACCATGCCAGGTATACACATACAGGTTGCTAGCATTGTAAACGAGGTTCTGAGGGTGAGGGAAAGGGGATCGTGGTGTGACAGACCCTGCTGCAAGTGCTCCTCTCTCTATCACACACACATGCAAACACTATCAAAAAAGAGAATTCTAATACAGCAGCAAGATATACCATCACTTTTTTTATTTGGCAGTAATAGTAATACATCCACATTACAGTGCTTATTTTGGCTAAAGAGCCACTGCTATTTCTTCGGCTACTGTAGTGTTTGCACAAATTAATGAGTGCAGTCCTTACATTTAGAAAATAAAAACATGTACTGCTATCAGTCAACAAAGCTTCATGGTTGTTTTCAAACTAAACAAAACAATGACATAATCACTAAGAAAAAGTAAGGATGTCCTCTTTTCCATGAATCACAGGTTATATAATTTCTTAAATCTTACATATTTCTTAAACTGATTTACCCAAGCAACAAGTTTGAATTCAACCTAATTCTTACAATCACTTTGAAAGTTACATCCTAAATAGTTTCTGAATATAAATACAGATAAAAATAAAAGCAAATGGGTTAGAAACATAATCTAAAATTTCTGATTACAAAAGGTCACAGAGAATTACATTAAATGTTACTTTGGCAAGCATTCTTATTTCCTAGGCTTAAAGAAATTATAAACTAAGAATTGTAACGCAAATAATCACTCCTTTGGAAATTACTTAAAAGTAGAAAATGTTACATCTTAAGGCAAGAAAATATCTGTAATTTTTTAAATAAAGTAGTTAATTCCAAAAATTAATATAATCATAACACATAGACATAAATAAAACTATTTCATGAGAAAGTTCTTTGGAACCGACTATAACAGTATGGAAAAACTTAGCTTCTTTTTAAAAAGATATTCTATTTTGATATTTCTTAATCATATTGTTAATCTCCAAGATGAAATAACTACTCTTAAATTAACAAAAATGTAAAGAAAGAAAGAAACAAACAAAAACAAGCAAACAAATATAATTGCCTCACATTTATCTTTTTTCTTCCAGAAAACAGGAGGAAAAAAAGTCATTTTCTCAAGACTAATTCGAGGTCCTCTTATAACTTTCATATGGAAGTGGATGGTAGGACTTATAGTGGCAATGGCAATTTTCTGATAAAACTACCATGAGCAAGTGTTAAAATAGGGTTTTACCCTAAAAGGCTATAGACCAATAATTTTTTTTAAGCATTGCTTTTGCTCTTCAACTCAATTTTAAGGCAAATGGAGACTTCTATATATGTCTTAGGTACCTTCTAAAGTCAGAAATGTTCTTTATAAGAAGATATTTTCCTTAAAAAGGTCACGTTTCTTCCCTCACAACAGAGAGATTTTTCCTATACTTACTGCCCTAAAAAACTATTTGGTCACTCTTGTTCCTTTTGTCAAAGGCCACAGAAAAAGCATCTTGCTAAAGTAACTACGGAACTACCAGGAACTACTCAAATTCCAGCACTGATTTGGACGAATCAACCTCCTAAAGATGAACAACCTTTCATTATATTTATTTATTTATTTAGAGAGATGGTTTTGCTATTGGGCACATGTGCTCACCAGAGAGACAGAGAGAAAAAGAAAGGAATCGCCCCTCAGGGGGATGGCTATGCCACAACCCCTTCTCCTCCCTTCTCCTCTTGGGATTTTGGGCATGCACGCAAATGTGCCTAGCATGTGTTTAAGCCGCCAGGTCCAGGATTCGAACTATGGTTGACTACATGGGAGTCCAGGGACGTAACCAATACATCATCTGCTGGTCCTTATTATTATTTTTTGATAGATAAAGTATAAAGGAGGAGAAGAAAAAACCCTCTAGAAAGCCATTCATCTTATCTGATGAAATAAATTCCCCAGAGTTAGCTTATGTAGTAGCAGCATTATTAAATAGTGCAATTCTTTAATTGATTTCAAACAATATCTTTCTCAAATAAAAAAGTAAGTTTATTATAGCTTTGTTTATAAAATGACAGCTTAAAACATTTAGCCTACAGGTGGGTAGATTGTAGAAGGACTAACTCTTCTGCCTACATGATAATGGAAATGTGTGTGCACACATGTGTATGTGGACGTATCATTCAAGGCCAGTGATACCTCAACAGCAAGGTAAAAACACAGAATACCAAAACAAAAAGTAAAACATTACATAATGAGTTTTTTTCTCTTTTTTAAATACCAGAATGTGTGTGTATTCACCAAGGAGACAGAGAGGAAAAAAAAGAGAGAGAGAGATAAAGCATCACCCAATGGGGCATGCTCATGCTGTAATCCTTTCTCTGTCTCTCCATCCAGTCAGAATTTTAGGTGTACACACACACCCCAGACATGTTTTTCCAAGCTGCTAGGGCCAGGATTCAAATAGCAGTTGACCATGTGGGATCCAGCACTCTTAACCACTAGGCTAAAGGCCAGTCCCATAAAGAAATTTTTAGTTTTGGTACTTCTAATGATACTCTTCCATCAATAGTAAATATTATAACTATGTAATTGTCAAGAATTTATATAAGAAAAATCAAGGAACTGTATATTCAAAAACAACTAGAACAATATTCCATATATTTAATGCTGTAACCTACAATAGTACATGCAAAACAGCATAAAGATTCTGAGTTTCATATTTTTAATTGATTTACATAAATGTAGCACATATGTACATTTAAATTTTTAACAGATTATGCTTTTTAATTTTAAAGTATTTGCCAGCAGGTACGTGCACTTACTGAGGAGACACAGAGGGTGGAGGGAATATGAAAGCAACCCCTTGGGGCATGGTCAGGCTGCAACTCTTTTCCTCCACTTCTCCCTCCTGCTGGGATTTTGGGCACACTTACACAGCTGCCCAGTGTGTTTTTCAGGCTGCTAAGTGTGAGGCTTAAGTTGGCCATGTGGGATCCAGCTCATGTAGCCATCAGGCTATGGGCTGGTCCTGGTTTTTTTGTTTGTTTTTGTTGTTCTTTTTTTTTAAACTTTTTATTTTCTATTCATTCATCAGAAACTAGGCACTTTAATCTAAAAATGCATTTAAAAATGCATTTTAGTCCTTCTGTATAACTCATTCCTAAAATAAATAAAACTCACTTTAAGAAGCGAAATTTTAAAAAAATATAACCCATTGATAAACGGGACCAGCCACTCCAAATCAGTGGTATATTTTCAGAAGCAAAATTAATGCAACTTTAAAAGTATCTAATATACCTTGATGAAGAACCTTACTCATAGGATCAACTCCTTTGTTCCTATATTTATCATAAAGGCCATGGAATAAACTTCTACATCGTTAACAGTACTTTTGTTCTATATTCAAGGGAGAAAAAATATCTCTTAAAATCTCACTAAGATTATTATTATTTTTTAAGGTTTTTGCTATAGGGCACATGTGCTCACTGAAGAGGAAGGAGAGACAGTGAGAGGGAAATTGAGAAACAATCTCTGGGGCGATGGCCATGCTACAATCCCATCTCCATTCTCCTCCTGGAATGTTGAGCATGCATGCGCACACGCCTGGTGTGATTATCAAGCTGCCAGGCCTGGCACTTGAACTGTGGTTGGCCATGTAAGAGTCCAATGCCGTAACCACTATGCCACCTGCTGGCCCCCTCATGAAGATTTAAAGTATGAATATTTTTAAAATATGAGCACAATATGACAAATTCCCAGTGTACTGAGTTCTCTGTGGGAATAACTAAAAGCTGTATCTGCAGAAGGAAAGAGGATAAATTGTTTTACTGTATCAAGTTTACTATCTTTTGAGGTTGGAAGATAATCTCAAAATTATACTTAAAAAAGGTAAATTTTTCATTGCTTTTCTTAGCTAGATAATAAATGTTATCTTTTAAATCATTATTCATTCAAAGGAAAAGTGCTCTAATCTATAAAGACAAAAGCAAGTTCTTCAGTCTATTGTAACTTATAAGACTAACAGTAACGTATTTTGGAAACTACAGTTCATCTAATATCAAGCTCTAAATTGTAAACATCTCAGTGTCAATTCATTTAAATGACTTATAACAATACTAAGCAATTACAGTTTATTTCGATTCAAATACATAAGCAAGTGCGTAAGTAATAACGTAAGCAGTACATATTAAATGCCGCTACTGCCTAAACTCGATTAAAAAATGACTAACTTTACAATTAAAAACACATTCTCAGGCAAGGTTAACTATGCTGACACTAGGAGTAATATATTCTTGCATGTGTGGCTGCAAAGGTCTTGGCTAAAGTGTGTGTATTTTCAAGGTGCAAAACATAAAAACAGGACTTTCAAAAAGGATACTGGATGACAAATGAGTTACCTCCCAAGTACTGGCTTTAATTCAAACAATACATACGTAACATTTCACAACTTAAATTATTACTAAAAAACGTAAAAAGTTGCTTTGGACACACTACGCAGAGATTCGACAACAGAACTCCTATATAAGTACAATGCAGTCGTTCATTCTTTACTAGATTATCTTTCCTCCCTGAGTCCACACTCACCAATTCTGTTGATTTTGTAATATGTGGTACAAAATCAATAGTTAACTTAAAATCTTTCACAGCACATTGTATTGTTTGATTCTTATGGTACCTACTGTACTTTGGCTTCCAATAGCCCACTGGACATAACATGACCATGAGTACTTATACAACTGCTCGTATGCCTCAGAGCATCTGCCCCAAGGTAGGCCATTAAAAGTTCAGTGCGGCGAATGAGGAGTTGCATGAGGTCTTCGGCCAAAGTCTCTATAGTCGAATAGCGCACCTTCTCGAAGTCAAAAATGTCTTTGAGGAAGAAAAGAACTTGATTCTGGAAAAGGAACACGAAACAAATTGGCATTAGTTAGACCAAAATTATATTAAATTTGAAGAGTCACTAATATTTTGAGCAGTGCGAGAAGAGGCGAGAGCAACCCCCCAGACCGACCAAAGCCTGTGTGCCGCTGCATCCCCCGTGCCCAGTGCCTATGTCCCACTGTTGCTGCCACCATGCCTGAGGAAAGACTGAAGGGGACGCTAAAGGAGATAAAGCCAAGGTGTAGGACAAGCTACAGAAAAGATCTGCAAGGTTGTCTGTGAAACCTGCTCCTACAAAGGCAGAGCCCAAACCTATGGAGACCCCTGCGAAGAAGGAAGAGAAGGTACCCAAAGGAAAAAAGGGAAAAGCTGATTCTGACAAGGATGGGGATAACCCTGCAGGTAATGGAGGTGCCAATACAGATCATGCAGACAGCTGAAGGTGCTGGAGATGCCAAGTGAAGGGTATACATTTTTGATAACTGTACTTCTGGTGACTGTATAGTTTGAAGCACTGTTTGTAATCAAGTTTCATAAAAAGGCAGAATTTTGTTTTATCTTTTCTTTTTATAAACTATGTTGTTAGAACATAGAATACTTGATTGTTGGTTTTTGGAGAAGGGGCATTTGTCACTAATAGAATGTCTCTGAAGCTGGATTGACTTGGACAACATCTTTTCCTTCTAGTTTTGAGACTTCCTCTTGACTCCCAGGGGAGGGATTCCCTGATGTTGACATGCATAGCCACCTTGGCACAGATGCCCTGTGGTGTGGAAAACTTAACATTTGTTTTTATGTCCTTTCCCTTCTGCCTTCAGCATAGACTTAACTCCCTTAAACCAGAGACCTCTTGGGACCGGACTACAAAAAATTAGTTACCACTATATCAGGCAATCTGGACTTTCCAATTACATTAAGATGGTATCCTTCAAAAGAGCAGCAGTTCCTTTTCTATATTGTTGGAATTCAGGTTGATAATTCTGTCATTTTCTTTTCCCAAAAGTCAGGGTCGGCTCATGAAAAGTAGTTAAACAACATGCTAAATGTGAAATGTCAACTCTCGCTCTTAACCTTCCCTGTTCAGACATCAGATGAACACTTCATTGGGTTTTATAGTGGCTCTCTGATTATGGTAGTCCATGGAAGAAGGGAGTTGGGAAGTTGTTGTATACTGTTAGTGATTGTCTGCCCATGTCCTGCCTGAAACACCATGATTGTTTATGAAAAGTGTCTTTAATAAAGCTGGGTACAGTTTGGCCTGGAGAAAAAAAAAGTTACTAATACTTTAATGAGCACTGAAGTTTCTTATCTCATTGGAAAAGAAATCTTGAGCAAGTGATTTAACCTTTTTTGGGGGTCTTGTTTTCCTTTTCTGTAAAATAAGAGATAATACCACCTGTCCTATTTACTATGCAGGTGATTAATGATCAAAAACTACAACAAATGCCTATAAACCCTAAGTCACTCTATAAGTGTAAGAGGCTGACTCAGTCCTTTCCCTCAGCATAACCTGTGAGCGCTGGTAAAACTTTAAGACAGAAGGGTAAATTATTTCCAATAACTACAAATGATAATGTTAAAATATATATTTTTCTGTTAAAAAAAAAACCCTTGAGATAATATTAGATCTTTTTCTATGCAAAAATGCATCATGACTGGGATCAGCAGATGGCATGGTGGTTAAGCTGCTGGACTCCCACATGGCTGACCATGGTTTGAGTCCCAGACTTGGCTTGGTTTCTCGTTTTCTGTCTCTCTCTCTCTCTGTGTCTCTAGTGAGGACACATGCCCTATAATAAATTTAAAAATCATCAATCAATCAATAAAATAATTATTTTTTTAAAAATGCATTGTGACTTTTCCAAAAGCCTAATTTCAAGTCCCAAATCAGTGGAAGACTTTCAAGGATACTTATGTTGAAACTACTTTAAAGAAGTTGTATATTACTAAGTATTAAGTCTTAGCTATTATGTTATGAAGAAAAAAAAAAGTAATTCCAAAGAGCAAAAAGCAGGAATAATTTATAGCCTCCAGAAACCAATGTTAAGAAGTACCAAGAAAGCATACTTCATAGATTCAATGGATTTTATATCTGGCAGGGTCATTAGCAATCATCTCTCAAGCCTCTTTTCATAGATGAAGAAAAGGAGGACCAAAGTATGATTTGCCCTAAATAAGACCGCTCATTAGTGACAGGCTCAATTCACAGCCACTGTCCCAGTTTTTTCTGCTAAAATATGTACCTTACATTTGGAAGGTCATATTAGTTAGCTAGCCCAAAATGAATGAGTTCTGAATGATAGTAAAATAAACTTTTCCTAAACCATGCACACAAATATTACTAGTCCATAAATATAATCATTTATTTTTTAAAAACAAATTACATAGTGAAGTATCTAAACTTTCAAACATCCAAAACTTTCAAATTCATACTCAATTATGTGTATTTTTATTTGCTCCAAAAAAAAACTCAGGTTAAACTCAAGATTTAACAGAGACACTTTTGGAGAGGTTTTTGCTATAGGGCGCGTGTGCTCGCCAGGAAGACAGAGAGAGACAGAGAGACAGAAAGCGAGAAATCACCTCCCAGGGGTGATGGCCACACTACAATCCCTTCTCCTCCGTTCTCCTCTTGGGATCTTGGGCACACATGCACAAGCACCCGGCGTGAGTTTAAGTCACCGGGTCCGGGACTTGAACCACGGTTGACTACATGGGAGTTCAGCGACATAGCTATTATGCTAACTGCTGGTCCCCAGAGACACTTTTTTTGGCACGTTGCTGGCCAGAAAATTCTGCAATGAGCTGTAATTTGTGCTTTGGCAAATCTACGCTGATGACATTGAGATACGACTCCCATATTATTTCTTACAACTTGAATTTTATTCATATTATGTTAAATCATAATTTATTTCTGCATTGCCACATGCACAATAAAGACATTGGTGGTTATAGATTTCAAAATGCCCAGGCATGAAGAACACAACTGTCTGCTGTAATTTTATCGTAACATGGCAACTCCATGCATGTATCCATTACAGAAGGAACTGAAGTGAATGGACCTGTTGAGTCTTGTAGAATACAACATGACATCTATAAAATACTGGTCCACCCTAAAAATAGTGTCTTTATAAAATGCCACTAATATAATACTGGCATTTAAACATTGAAGTTAGGTAACTTTCATAAAATTTACTTGTAAAATTCTTTTTTCTATAAAAGCAAAGTCATAACAAATTTTTTATTCACTTTTTGATTAAAATGTGCTCGCCAGGAAGACAGAGAGAGACAGAGAGACAGAAAGCGAGAAATCACCTCCCAGGGGTGATGGCCACACTACAATCCCTTCTCCTCCGTTCTCCTCTTGGGATCTTGGGCACACATGCACAAGCACCCGGCGTGAGTTTAAGTCACCGGGTCCGGGACTTGAACCACGGTTGACTACATGGGAGTTCAGCGACATAGCTATTATGCTAACTGCTGGTCCCCAGAGACACTTTTTTTGGCACGTTGCTGGCCAGAAAATTCTGCAATGAGCTGTAATTTGTGCTTTGGCAAATCTACGCTGATGACATTGAGATACGACTCCCATATTATTTCTTACAACTTGAATTTTATTCATATTATGTTAAATCATAATTTATTTCTGCATTGCCACATGCACAATAAAGACATTGGTGGTTATAGATTTCAAAATGCCCAGGCATGAAGAACACAACTGTCTGCTGTAATTTTATCGTAACATGGCAACTCCATGCATGTATCCATTACAGAAGGAACTGAAGTGAATGGACCTGTTGAGTCTTGTAGAATACAACATGACATCTATAAAATACTGGTCCACCCTAAAAATAGTGTCTTTATAAAATGCCACTAATATAATACTGGCATTTAAACATTGAAGTTAGGTAACTTTTATAAAATTTACTTGTAAAATTCTTTTTTCTATAAAAGCAAAGTCATAACAAATTTTTTATTCACTTTTTGATTAAAAAAAAAGAGAAATGATTCGATAACTGAACATACCTTAAAGAAGCAACACAAATCATAGAGAGAATTTCTAGGACCCAAAAAGCCCCAGGCTAGGACGGGGCTGATGTGCTCACAAATGGCATAAAAATGGGCAAAAAATCCATCTGGGATCTGTTGGAAGTAAATGAGAATCAAGTTATTTTTACCTTCTTGTATCTGCTTTCTCTCTAGTCAAGAAAACTGAAACTGCTGTCCATCACGTGATCAGTTCTTTTGAAGGACAGGTCAAAAGTCCATCAAGAGCCAACCCATTAAGAAATTTAATAAACATACCAGCAACTTTTAGAACCCCAGAATGTTTTATGCAGATTTCACATTCTAGCCAGCAGTTTCAGATGTGCTGAGAAAGATTATTTCTGAAAAAGCACTTTTCACCTCATAAAAATACTCCATAAAACCCAGCAGTCATAGGTAGGCCCAGCAGTGGTAGCGTGAGTGGGAGGGTGCTGCTATGTGGTGTAATATCAGTGCTGTAACCAGGCAATGTAAGAATGGTCTGGTGGGTTTTTTTTTTCTTAATTGCTAGAGGGTGAGTGTGCTCATCAGAGATAGAGAAAGGGAAACAGCACCCTGCAATGGAGTGTGATCACGCCACAATCCCTTCTCCATTTTGTCGAGATTTTTTTTTTTAAGAATTATTTATTTACTTTTATTCATTCATTTTATTTTAATTTTACCAGAGAGATACTCAGAGAGAGAGAAAGAGGGAAAGTGAGAAAGCAAGCCACCAGGTCCAGGACTTGAACCACGGTCAGTCATGTGGGAGTGTCCAGCGCCTTAACCACCACGCCACCTGCTGGTCCCCAGAAAGAGAAAGTGAGAAAGTAAGCTGCCAGGTCCAGGATTTGAACTGTAGTCAGGCATGTGGGAGTCCAGTGCCCCTAAATACCATGCCACCTGCCAGCCCCTCTGTCGAGATTCTGAGCACACATGTACATGTGCCCCGCTGGGCTTGCATGCAAATCTCTAGGGCTGGGATTCGAACCCCAGTCAACCACGTGAGATCCTGCTCCCTCAACCACTATGCTATGACACTGGCCCTACGTTGTCCTCTCTTTAGTCATAAGGTTATGAGGATTACTAATGTGACTATGGCTTCCGTTATTTACAAGCCCTACTCAATCACATAGTTGTTAACTAAAAAGACTAAGCAGATGGCTGGATGGTGGCGAAGCAGTTAATTCAGTGCTCTGTGAGGCGGACCCACATGGGACGGCCCAGGTTCACATCTGGAGGGCTTCCTGAACATGCTGGGGGTATGCATGCCCATGATCCAGAGCCAGCTGAAGCCAGGGGTAAATCATAGAATAAAAATCTCTTGGGGATGCCTGTCACTCTTTCTCTCTGTCTCTCTCCCTCATGGAAGAAAGAAACTTAAAAAAAAAAAAAAAAAAAAGGACTAAAGCGATTGAAAGTGATTAAGTACTAAGTTATTCTTACTAGAATCATTTTCCTCTGGTAAGGAACCCAATGTTAATTAAGCACTTAATGGTGTAATCACCACTTCTTATCAAATATTAGTAGATAGAATTGTGGTTTTTTAAAAAATTATTTATTTATTTATTATTATTGTTAATATTATTTTTCACATGAGTTTTGCCAGAGAAAGACAGAGCGAGAGGGAGAGGAAGAAAGCAAGCTGCCAGGTCCAGGACTCAAACCATGGCCAGCCATGTGGGAATTTCAGCACCTTAACCACCATGCCACCTGCTGGCTCCAGACTTGTGTTTTTAAGAAACTAAGTTTATTAAAAACTTTCTGGAGCCAGCTAGTGGCATGGTGTTTGCGGTGGCTGGATCCTACATAGCTGACTGTGTAGTTTGAGTCCTGAACCCAGCAGCTTGAAAAATACACCAGGTGCATATACATACATACCCCAAATCCCAAGACTAGGGTGGGGGAGAAGGAACTGAGGTATGGTCATTCCCCCAGGGGGTGCTTTCCCACTTTCTCTGCCTCTCTCCAGCAAACATGCACATCCCACTGCAAATTAAAAACAAACAACCTTTCTGAAATTCCTCGTTAAATAACATCCTGTGAAATATGTCATATAGTATCGACTGGGGAGAAGTATGTCTTAAGATTCTGTCCCAGGAGCCAGTCAGTGGCATGGTGATTAAAGCAGCTGGATCCCACATGGCCAGTTTTGCAGTTTGAGTCACAGATACAGTGACTTGAAAGACATGCTAGAATGCGTGTGTGTGCATGCCCAAAATCCTGAGCGGAAAATGGGGATGAGACTGTAGGGTGCCACCACTCGGACGGAGGATGATTTCTCACTTTCCCTTTTATTCTCTGGTGAGTTCACATGCCCTATAACAAAAACTAAACAAGAAAAAGAAAAAGGAAAAGGAAAAGAAAAAAACAAAAAGAAAAAAGAGATTCTGTCTCAGGCCAGTCCTGAGCAGTACAGTGTACTGTACAGTAGTACAGTAGTACAGTGATCGGATCCCACATGGCTGACCAGCATTTTGAGTCCTGGCTCCCTTGTGCAAGAAAATACTGGGCTTGTATATGCCTGGCATCTTTTTTATTTTTCCTTCTTCTTTTTGTGGCTTTCCGGTAAAAACAGGAAAACCTGCTAGACAAATTCTTGTTTTTAAAAAATTTGTTTTTAATTTTTGCTTTATTTTATTTATTTATTTATTTTTTATTTGACCAGAGAGGGGGAAGAGGAGAGAGAGAGAGAAAGCCACCAGGTCTGGGACTCTAACTTGTGGTCAGCCACGGGAGAGTTCAGCACCCTTAGCCATCACGCCATCTGCTGGCCCCCTGCTAGACAAATGTTAAAAGAGCTGTAACATTGGGACCAGTAGTTAGCATGATGGCTATGTCGCTAGACTCCCACGTAGTTTACCGTGGTTCGCATCCCGGACCTGGTGGCTTAAAACTCATGCCAGACGCATGTGTGTGCGTGCCCAAGATCCCGAGAGGAGAATGGAGAAGGGATTGTGGTATGGCCATCACCCCTGGGCGGGGGGTGATTTCTCTCTTTCTGTCTCTCTGTCTCTCTCTGTCTGTCTGGTGAGTGCACGTGCCCTATACCAAAAACCTCTCAAAAAAAAAAATTTTTTTTTTTAACACTACAGCTGGCATCCTCACAGGATAGCGTTTAAAAAAAAAAGAATTGTTGGGCTGGCAGGTGGCATGATGGTTAAGGTGCTGGACTCCCATGGTTGACCATGGTCCAAGTGCCAGACATGGCAACTTGCTTACTTTCCCTCTCTCTGTCTGTCGCTCTATGGTCAAATTTTAAAAAATAATAAAATTAAATAGATAATAATAATAAATAAAGTTAAATAAAAATAATTCTTTAAAAAAATTAAATAGAATTAAATAAATAATTTAAAATTAAAAAGAGGAGAAAAATAACTGCAATATGACCAGGCCCTGGTCAGGGGCTCTCTCTTTCTTTAACCCTGTCATATGTGCACACATGCTCTCTGGTACTAAAACAAAAGAAAAGAGAGGCCAGCAGGTGGCATGGAGGTTAAGGTGGCTAGATCCCACATGGCCAACTATACAGTTCAAGTCCTGGACCCGGTGTCTTGAAAAACATGCCAGGCAGTCTGGCAGGTGGCGTGGTGATTAAGGGGGCTGGACTCCCACATGGCTGACTGTGGTTCGAGTTCTGGACCTGGTGGCTTACTTTTTCACTTTCCTTCTCTCTCTCTCTCTCTCTCTCATTCTGTCCTCCTCTGGTCAAATTAAATAAGTTAAATAAATCTTTAAAAAAAGAAAAGAAAGATAAAAGAAAAGAAAAACATGCCAGGCATGTGTGTATGCATGCATCCTGAGAGGAGAATGGAGAAGGGACTGTGGTGTGGCCATCCCTCATAGGGGATGATTTCTCACTTTCTTACTTTCTCTGTCTCTGGCAAGCACACACGCCCTACAGCAAAATTAACTAACTAAGGCTTATTTTTGGTTTCTAACACAATTATATCTGAATTACAGAAATCTCAAATTAAAAAAAACATAAGATAGCAGCAGTTACCACTTAATGGATACCCATTCTATTCCAGAGAATGTCCTAGGTTCTATTTACTTTACTAAAACATTCCCTCAAAATAATCATGTTAACATTACTATAAACATGTAAAAGGTTGATACTTGAGAGGTGTTAAATATTCAGCCCTAAATTATACAAAGCTAGTTAGAGAAAGTCAAAAAGTTATCAGAGATGAATTGAAGCCATTCTAGTGTAAGAGATACCTATATTTATTAATTCTAAGTTTCATATTGTAAGGTTTAGATAATGGTTCATCCTTTAAAGTTTCTTGAGTTTGTTTGTTTGCTGTAGGGTATAAGCATCCACCAGAGAGACGGGGAATTAAGAAATCATCCCCCCCACCCCCGAACCAGCAGTTAGCGTAATGGCTATGTCACTGGACTCCCATGTAGTTGACCGTGGTTCGAGTCCTGGACCCGGTGACTTAAACACGCCGGGTGTGTGTGCGTGCGTGCCCAACATCCTAAGAGGAGAATGGAGGAGAAGGGATTGTGGTGTGGTCATCCCCCCTGGGGGGGTGATTTCTCGCTTTCTGTATCTCTGTCTGTCTGGCGAGCACACACGCCCTATAGCGAAAAATCTCTCCAAAAAAAGAAAAAGTAAAAGAAATCACCCCCCTGAAAGACGGCCATACTGCAATCCCTTCTCCTCCTCCATTCTTTTCTTGGGATTGTGGACACACATGCACATGTGCCTAGTGTTTCTCAAGCCATGGGGTCGGGACTCGAAAGGAGTAATCAGCCATGTGGGATCCAGTGCATTTAACTATCACATCGCCTGCTGGCTCAAAAGGTTTCATGTTTTAGATTTTGGTCTTAATGAGTGGAGACTGAATGTCCCTCAGAAATTCATTTTTTGGGACTTGATTGTACTGCAAAAGTACTAAATGAAAACTTAATTCATTCAGTGGTATACCAGGGTGGGGCCTTTGGGTCTGATAATATCATTAAGGTGGAGCCTTGGTGACTGAACTCTGGTAGGGTTAATAAAACCAAGGACTAAGATCAGAATGGCACAGAGGACACTGTATGGATACAGATCATGCTGTTCTGCTCAAAGTTCTGCCATCCGCCATTTTGTGATGCCTTTAGACTTTCTAGTCACCAGACGTGTGAATCATCGAACCCCTATTATTATAAATTTACCCAGTCACAGATATTTCTGCTGGCAATGCAGTAACAGAGGAAGATATCATATGACTCTAAATGCATTAGGAATTCAGAGAATTGAGCAGTTAGCGTGGGCTGAAGGAGAAGATACACCTCAGAAAGGAGTAATGTGAGCTGCACTCAAGAATGGCCAAGATTGGGACCAGCAGTTAGCGTAATGGCTATGTCGCTGAACTACCATGTAATTGACTGCAGTTCAATCCCTGGACCCGGTGGCTTAAACTCACGCCAGGCACGTGTGCATGCGTGTCCAAGATCCCAAGAGGAGAATGGAAGAGAAGAGATTGCGGCGTGGCCATCCTCCCTGGGGGGTGATTTCTCACTTTCTGTCTCTCTGGTGAGTGCATGCACCCTGTAGAAAAACCTCTCCAAAAAAAAAAAAAAAGAAAGAAAAAAAGAATGACCAAGATTTATGTGCCGTTCTAGGTATAGGAAATAGATCCCCAGGAGATGAGTACTTTGTGATATGCAAAGATTAGACTGAGATACAACATTTATTCTAAGAAACAGGAATAAATTGTACCATAATAATCATTTTTTGGGGGGAACTACCATTTATTAAACTTTTTTTTTTTTTTTTTAATTTATCAAAGTGTGTGTGTGCTTGTTGGAGAGAGACACAGAAAGTAAGCACCCACTACAGGGCATGGTCATGCCACAATCCCTTTTCTTCCATTTCTTCTTCCTGTCAGGATTTTGGGCATACACGCAAACACATACAGTGTGTTTCTCAAGCTGCTGGGTCATGGGCTCAGAGTACACAGTTGGCCACATGGGATCCAGCTATCTTAACCATCAGGCCACAGGCTGGCCCTTTTTATAAAAAAAAAAAAAAAAAAATTGTTGCTATTATTTATTTTTTAATTTGACCAGTGAGAGAAAGGGAAAGCAAGAAAGCAAGTCACCAGGTTTGGTACTCGAACAGCAGTTGGTCATGTGGGAGTTCAGCACCTTAACTGTCACACTACCTGCCAGCCCCTGGTTTTTTGTTTTGTTTTGTTTTGAAACAAAGGGTCTCACTATGTTGTGATTCTCTGGCATTGGCCTCCTAGAGAGCTGGAACTAAAGGTAGCCTGTTTTTAGAGTGGCCTGGGAATCCAGTCTGGGCCTCCTGTGTGGCTTCAGACTAGCAAGTAGCAGCATCTACCAGTGCTATTGTGTTTGGGCCATTAAGTTCATTTTTTATTGTTTACTTTTATGTTTAAATTAAGCTTGTTGATATTATCTCATTTAATCCTTGAGCAGTCCTATGAGGTAGGTGTTAATTCCATTTAGATAATAGGAAATTTCAGTGTCAGGTGATGGTCAGAAATTTGCTATGATTATACAAGTTGTATGAAATCAAATCCAAGTATACAAGTCTACGATACCGCCCTAGGGGTCAGCAGGTAGTGTGGAATTAAGATGTTGGACTCCTACATGGCTGACCATGGGTTGAGTCCTGAATGCAGTGGCTTGAAAATAATGCTGGGCATGTGGACATGTGGGAATGTGTGTGTGCATGCACAAAATCCTGAAAGAAGAAAGGAAGACAAAGGACTGTGGCATGTCCAGGGTGGGGGGCGGTGATTTCTCACTTTCCTTCTCTCTGTTCCTGTTTCAAGCCAGTGAGTGCTTGTACCCTATGACAAAATGTAAAAAAAAAAAAAAAGCAATTGCTCTAGTCCTAAATCAGTGGTATTCAAACATTAAAGTTGATAATCTTCATTTAGGCAACTTGGTTAAAATACAAGTTCTCTGGAATCATTCTAAACAGGAATTATTCAAATATCAGGTCCCCAGAATTCTTTCTTTCTTTCTTTCTCTTTCTTTTTGTTAAAATTAATTTTTCAGGGCCAGCTGTGTGGCCTAGTGTTTAAGGGAGCCAGATTCTACATGGCCAAACATGTGTAGAAATTCTGGCCCCAGGGAGTTAAAAAATGTATCGCACATGTGCGTATGCATGCCCCATAGCTGACTTTGCAGTTGAGTGACAGACCCAGTGGTCTGAGAAACATGCCAGGCGCATGTACGTGCATCCCCAAAATCCCAAAAGGAGGGTAAGATGGGGGAGAAGGGGTTGCAGCATGGTCATTCCCCATAGGAGTGCATTCTCAGTTTTCTATTCTTTCTCTGTCTCCCTATGGTAAACACACTTGTCTCCTGGCAAATGAAAAGAAGTGTTTGGTGAGAGCAATGCCTAGTAGGTGAGATGGGCTAGAGGGTATGGGGCATGGTGGCAGGGTAAAAACTTTGAGATAGGACTCTGAATTAGACACAGCAGCTATTAGAATCAAATATTTCTCAATTAGATTATATGAAGTAGAATCCACTATATCAAACAATTAAAAAAATTAATTTCATTAGGGCTGGGCTCATGGTCTGGTGGTAAAGGGAACTGGGTCCCATGTAGCCTACCATGCAGTTCAAATCCTAGACCTGGAAGCTTGAAAATAACACTGGGCATGAGTGTGTGTGTGTATGTGCCCTAAATCTTGAAGGAGAGAAATGGAAGAGAAAGGACAGTGGCATAACCATGCCCCATGGGATGGGGCTGCTTTCTCCCTCTCTAACTTGTAAGTTGCATGCATCCTCAAGTAAAACTTTTTTTTTTTTAATTTAGTATCAAAAGTAGAAGAAAAAGGGACCAGCAGTTAGCGTCATGGCTATGTTGCTGGACTCCCACGTAGTTGACCGCAGTTCGAGTCCTGGACCCGGTGGCTTAAACTCATGCCGGGCGCGTGTGCTTGCGTGTCCATAATCCCGAGAGGAGAATGGAGATGGGATTGCGGTGTGGCCATCCCCCCTGGGGGGTGATTTCTCGCTTTCTGTCTGTCTGGCGAGTGCACGTGTCCTATAGCAAAAAAAAAAAACTCTCCAAAAAAAAAGTAGAAGGAAAAAAACCTCTTATCAGAACTTTCCAACCTTAAATCTTTTCCCTTAGCAGAACTCCCATGTTGGCCTCAATACTTGCTATAATAAACTACACAAAACATCAAAGATAGGGAAAAAAGTAAACAAAAAAGGAACAAGAAAAGAAAGAAAAAAAGAAAGACAAACAAAAAAAAGCAAAAGAACAAAAATAAAAACAAAAACGAAACAGATGAAGAAGGCATTCTAAAAAGAAGGAACTCATACCAATGTAAGTCACTCATCTACAATAGCTTGAACAGTCCCTCCTAGCACCTGCTCGCCCCACAGGTGAACAGACTCGCGTGTTTCTTTGACAGGCTCCTCGAAATACTGAATGAAGGAGTCCAGGGCGTAGTGAGTTTTACCTTCATTTGTTGCCTTTTCTGTTTCAGCACTGACCAACAGCTTGAAGCGACAGCCTAAATATATGTAAAGAAGAAAAGCAAGGTTTAAATGTACATCTATCAAGACACTTTCATTTAAAAAGAGTGATTTTTATTAAAAGTTTAAAAGTTTATAGGTCTACAAAATTCAAAACAATCACTAATTAAGAACTAGTCTAGGCTACTCGCATTATTTGTAAATATTAAGAAAGGGTATTTCATTTTTAGAAATTTTTAAATTAAATACAGAGCCACTAAAGGAAAAAGGTTGAACTCTGGCCCCCCAAAATTTGCTAAAGTACAATTCAGTCCTTCCTATTTCTTTTCTTTTCTTTTCTTTTCTTTTCTTTTCTTTTCTTTTCTTTTCTTTTCTGAGAGAGATTTTGCTATAGGGTGTGTGTCCTCTCTGGAAAGACAGAGAGACAGAAAGTGAGAAATCACGCCCCCAGAGAGAATGGCCACACCACAATCCCTTCACTTCCATTCTCCTCTTGGGATCTTGGGCACACACGTGTGCCCAGCATGAGTTTCAAGCCTCCAGGTCCAGGACTTGAACCGCAGTCCACCATATGGGAGTCCAGTGACATAACCATTATGCCATCTGTTGGTCCCTGGTTCTTTCTATCTCTTTTTTTTTTTTTAAATAAAGAATTATTTACTAATTTTTATATATTTATTCATTTATTTTCATTTGACCAGAGAGCCAGAGAGAGAGAGAGAGTGTTAGAAAGCAAGCCATCAGGTTCAAGACTCGAACTGCGGTTAGCCATGTGGGAGTGTCCACCACCATAACCATCATGCCACCCACTGGTCCCAGTTCTTCCTATTTCTAAGGAAGAAAAGTGAAAATAGTGTATACAGATGCACATACACATCGCTTCTGGGCCTTCTAGGTAAGATCAAGAATAGGTACACAACGTACAAATGTCTTATTGTAACCGTGAATACAAAGTAGTGTTTTTTCCCCTCAAAGACAGTACCTCTAGTAAAGCTAATAATTGTATTCAAATGAACTAAGAAATACAATCATAACAGGACAAAAGCACCCAGCAGACCCTGAAGAAATCTGATCATATTGTGGGATTTCCCAAACTTGATGGAGGTCACGTTACCAAAACAGTTACAGAATTGGTTTATCGTGCATACTTTTATGATTAAAACATACTTTAACTGGAGAAAAAAATGGATTTATAAAAAATGCTTTAAGGGAACCAGCAGTTAGCGTAATGGCTATGTCGCTGGACTCCCACGTAGTCGACTGCGGTTCGTGTCCCGGACCCGGTGGCTTAAAACTCACGCTGGGCACGTGTGCATGCGTGCCCAAGATCCCGAGAAGAGAATGGAGGAGAAGGGATTGCGGCGTGACCATCCCCCCGGGGGGTGATTTCTCGCTTTCTGTCTCTATGTCTCTCTATGTCTGTCTGGTGAGTGCACGCGCCCTATAGCGAAAAAACCTCTCAAAAAAAAAAACAAAAAAACCCATATAGACTATAGGGCCAAAAGGTGGCGTGGTGGTTAAGGCACTGGACTCCTGCATGACTGACTGCAGCTCAAGTCCCAGGCCAGTAGCTTGAAAATCATGTGGAACACGTGTGTGTGTACCCCAAATCCCACATGGTGAATGAAGGAGAAGGGATTGCAGCGTGGCCATCCCTCCCAGGGGTGTTTTCTCACTTTTCCTCTCTCTGAATTTCTCTCTCCAACAAGCATAGATGCCCCATAGCAAACATCTTGAATACACACACATACATATATATCATATATATCTCATATATATTTACATTTTATAGACTGTCACCTTTTTTCAGAATAACTGTTTTATTTAAGTTTATTCACATAGCCATTTCAGTTACAAACAATTTTTGTTAGGCCTGAGCTAGTGTGAAGCCTGTTTCTTTAGAGACCTGAAAAAGTACAGGGTCCTCCAGGGAGAGGAGGACTGGTGGAAGGGCCAAAAGAATTTCACCTGAAGATGTTTTTTGTTTTTGTTTTTCAATTTGCCAGCAGGCACATGTGCTCACTGGAGAGGGACAGAAAGAAAAAGAAAGAGAAGTGAGAAAGCACCTTCCATGGGGCATGACCACGCTGCAATCCTTTCTTCTCCATTCTCCTTCCTTTCAGGATTTTGGATATGAATATACATACAATCAGTTTGTTTCTCTTTTTCTTTTTCTCTTTTTAAAATAATCTTTATTTAATTTTATTCATTATTATTTTATTTGACCAGACAGAGAAAGTGAGAAAGCAAGCCACCAGGTCTAGGACTTGAATCGTGGTCAGCCATGTGGGAATCTAGCACCTTAACCACCAAACCAGCTGCTGGGCCCCCACAAGCAGTGTATTTTTCAAGACACTGGCAGGTCTGAGACTAGAACTATGCAGCCGGCCAAGTGAGATCCAGCTACTTTAACCACTATACCACTGGGCCTGAAAGTGTTCTTGTTTTTTTTTTTTTTTTAAAGAATTATTGCAGAGAGCAGCAGATGGCATAATGATTACATCGCTGAACTTCCATGTAGTTGATGGTGGTTTGAGTCCCTGACCCGGCAGCTTAAAACTCGCACTGGGGACCAGCAGTTAGCGTAATGGCTATGTCACTGGACTCCCACGTAGTCGACCATGGTTCGTGTCCTGGACCCAGTGGCTTAAAACTCACGCCGGGCGCCTGTGCGTGTGTGCCCAAGATCCCGAGAGGAGAATGGAGGAGAAGGGATTGTGGCGTGGCCATCCCCCTGGGGGTGATTTCTCGCTTTCTGTCTCTCTGTCTCTCTCTGTCTGTCTGGCGAGCACACACGCCCTATAGCAAAAAACGAAAAAAAAAAAAACAAAACAAAAAACAACTTGCACTGGGCATATGTGCATGTATGCCTAAGATTCCAAACAGAGAAGGGTTCCAAACAGAGAAGGGGATTGTGGCGTGGCCATCCCCCTGCGGGACAATTTCTCACTTCCTATCTCTTTGTCTCTCTGGTGAGCGCATACACCCTATAGCAAAAATCTCTTTTAAAAAGAAAAAAGAACTATTTATTTTTATTTATTATTTTTTTAAAAATTTGCTATAGGACACATATGCTAACCAGAGAAAGAGAAAGCAAGAAAGCAAGTCATCAGGTCCAGAACTCACACCACGCTTGGCTATATGGGAGTTCAGCATCTCAACCACCACACCGCCTGCTGGCACTGGGCATGAAAGTGTGTGTGTGTGTGTGTGTGTGTTTTAAATTATTTATTTAATTTTATTATTATTATTATTGATATTATTAGATTTGCCGTAGAGCATGTGCACTCACCTGAGAGAGACCAAGAGAGAAAGAGAGGGAAAGCGAGAAAGCAAGCCACCAGGTCCAGAATTCAAACCACGGTCGGCCATGTGGGAGTGTCCAGTACCTCAACTACCACACCACCTGCCAGCCCCCTGAAAGTGCTTTATACCCTGTATCTCTAATCCCAACATCAAAGGATAAGGTCAATTTCCACAATAAACACTCCATAGGCAGATGTATATATAAACTTATTAACCTTCCCAGTTCAATTTTTCACCAAATTTAAATAGCTGAAAAAGGGAAAGCACCACTTACAGTTTCTTTGAAGGAAGAGTTGAGCCAGCGATTATTTACTACATTCTGGATGGATGTGGGTGGGTTTTCTAAATCTTCAAAGGAATCCATTAATATGAAATCCAGAACAACATCATAAAAATTTAGATTTTTCACCTGCATTAGATTATGAATTAAAACAAATTAGTATTACATATAACTGAAATACAGTTTGTGCCAGGGCTTCTCACTCTTTATCAGCAGAGATTTTTTTAGTTGAATCAGATTAATTTTTCTGACCAAAAATAGGAAAAGAGACAATATGAAAACTCACCGTCATAAATTATGATTCACAAAGTAGCTGTTCCTGCCTAGACCCCATCAAGTGAAATGAACCTCTTCTTCCTCTCTATTTTAGAAGTCCTGAGCTCCTGCTTCTCTTACAGCATCTACAATGCTCATTCTGCTTTGCTATTTAGTGAGGGCATATCTGCCTGTCCTCCTCACCAGAGGGCAAACCTTTTGCTCGTTCATTCATTCATTTCTGTACATTTTGTTGTACGATGCGCTATTCCAGGTGTACCTACTTGTACATTAAGGAAACCAGATGCCTGGATTCTAGAGGGGAAAACGGAAAGTAACAAAAGTAATCCTACAAATAACCAGTTATAAACCATGAAAAGAAAGTAAGGGGAAAAGTGCACGATGTTATGAGAGCCTAGGACAGAGATCCTGACTTTGAGCTGAATGCCAGACAGAGCTTCCTTCAGGGAGTGAGGCATCCCAGGTAGGGATTCGAACTTCACAGCCAGACATGTGGGATCCAGTTCCCTTAAGCCTCAATCCTGTTTTTACCCTTTCCTTTCCTGACAGTGAGAATCTGGCTTTGATATTACTCAGCATCTTTATTTGTTCAGTCATGAGTATAAAGTCAGTCTTCCAGTCCCACTGAGCAGTCCCTGCTGTCCCATCTGGAAACATCCTCAAACAGGCTGCCATTACCATCCTGCCAACTGCCTTCTGGACAGGAGGAAGGATGGGAGGGAGAAAAGATAAAACAAAGGAAAGCAAAGTTTAAAAAAATAACAAAACAAAACAAAAAACAATTACTTGTGACCAGCAGATGGCGTAATGGTTACATTGCTGGACTCCCCCATAGTCGACCATGGTTCAAGTCCTGGATCCAGGCAGTTTAAAACTAATGCTGGGTGCTTGTGTGTGCGTGCTCAAAATCCCGAGAGGAGAATGGAGAAGGGGCTGTGGCATGGCCATGCCCCCTAGAGGGTGATTTCTTGCTTTCTGTTTCTCTGTCTCTGTCTCTCCAGCAAACACTCACACCCTATAGTAAAAATCTTCTCTTAAAAAACAAACAAACAAAAACCAGGACCAGCAGTTGGTGTAATGGCTGTCACTGGACTCCTATGTACCTGACCGTGGTTTGAATCCCGGACCAGGTGGCTTAAACTCACGCCAGGCGCACATGTGTGCGTGCTTGCATGCGTGCCCAAGATCCTGGTGGGAGAATGGAGAAGGGATTGCGGTGTGGCCATCCCCCCCAGGAGGTGATTTCTCACTTTCTGTCTCTCTGTCTCTCTCTGTCTTTCTGGCAAGCGCACATACCCTATAGCAAAAACCTCTCCAAGAAAAATAAACCCTATGACTGTTGTCCCAATGTATGAAGACTGTAGCTGCTCTTATGACTCTCAGAAGAATGATGTCACACCACCACACAACTGGTTTTAGTGTCATTTAATAAATACAAGGAAACAGCGGCCTCAACTCATGTAAATATTATATGTTAATAAGGGGAATTGATATTGTGAAGAATTTAAACTTACCCCTCTAGCAGCAAGTTCCATTTCAGTACTATCCCAGTGATCAGTCTGCTCTAAAAAATAAATCATTTCATCAAAAACATCTTCAAACTTCTTTGGATTCTGTAGAAGAAAACACATTTTACTTCTAAACTCAACAAGGCTCGAGCCTACAAAGTAAGTTACTCTTTAAGTAAGTTTGCTTGATCGTAATTCTTTTAGGTAACTAAATTAAAATAGATCGAGGTATGCCAAATCTATTTGGTTTACTACGTTATGGTTCCAATATTTTGTAGAAACTAAGAGAAGAAAGTTTGTAAAATGTCATGAACTCTTTACTACTCAAACACATCTGTCTGTTTAGAGCAGTCGTCAAGATTTAAACACCCCATGTGATGCTTTTTTTTTTAATGGTTTTTGCTATAGGGCATGCGTGCTTACCAGACAGAAACAGAGAGAGAAAAAGTGAGAAAGCACCCTCCGGGGAGGATGGCCATGCCACAATCCCTTCTTCCCCATTCTCTCAGGTTCTGAGCATTCATGTACATGTACTTGGTGAGCTTTTCAGGCAGCCAGGTCTCACTGACTGAGCAGTCAGTCATGGGCTCCATCCCCCTTAACCACCATGCCACAGGCTATCCCTGTGTACATCTGTAAATAGTTCTGTTTTTAAATATGTTTTAAATTGTTCATATTTCTTACTCTGCTCTGACACACCATCCCATAGCCTTGTTCACTAATTTATATGCATTCTTATGTCCATTTTCTTTTTTTGAATGATTTATTTAAATGTTATGTATTATTATCTTTCTCTAATTTTGTTATGTGGCACATACACTTCACCAGAGACAGACAGAGAGGGAAAGTAAGAAAGCAGGCTGCCAAGTCCAGGACTTGAACTGTGGTCGGCCATGTGGGAGTCCAGCACCTCAACCACCATACCACATGCTGGCCCCATTAGGTCCATTTTCTTTCTTTTTAAAAAAATTAATGAATTAATTAATCAATTTTAATTTGATGCAAGAGAGAAAGAAAGTGAAAAAGCAAGCCACCAGATCCAGGACTCGAACCACAGTTGGCCACAGGGGAATCCAGTGCATTTAACCACCACACCACCTGCCAGTCCCTATTAGGTCCATTTTCTAACGGTGTGGCCTTCACATGTAGAAAGGCACTCAAGTCAAGTAGAAATCAATGCTGCTTATTTAAAAAAAAAAAAATCTTTTTAAGTTTACTTCTTTCTTCAATGAGGGAGATATCTATACAGAGACAGAGACAGAGAGACAGGTATCCCTAACACAGGGTCTTCATGCCATAATCCACCCTGAGCCTCAGCTAGCTTAGGTCATGGGCACACCTGTGCCCAGCATGTTCAAGGAGGTCTCCATACACGAAGTCAGAACCTTCCCACTCAGGTCAGCCTTGCAGAACACTGTGTCAGCACGGTGCTATCATCTGGCCTTATCTTCAATATGTGAACCTTTGAAACTATGCACAAAAACTTTTCCTTCTATTAAAAGTGTAATGTATTTCATCTTTGTTTCAATCAAAATTACAATAAAAATAACATGGGACCAGCAGTTAGTGTAATGGCTATGTCGCTGGACTTCCATGTAGTCGACCATGGTTTGTGTCCCGGACCCAGTGGCTTAAAACTCACAATGGGCGCGTATGTGAGTGTGCCCAAGATCCTGAGAGGAGAACGGAGGAGAAGGGATTGCGGCATGGCCATCCCCCCTGGGGGGTGATTTCTCGCTTTCTGTCTCTCTGTTTCTGTCTGTCTGTCTGGCGAGTGCACGCGCCCTATAGCAAAAATCCTCTCAAAAAAAAAAAACAAAAAAAAAACCCATGACAACACAAGTTTACCTTTCGTGCTTTCACAATCAAAGCAGATAGAATCTTCCTTCCACTCTCAGCAAGAAATATCCTGTTGGCTGTTTCTGAAAGAATTACCTGAAAAAATATCCATCCACAGAGAAAACAGACCTACAGTGAGTTTAAATAGACATCCGACTTCAGGGCACATCTGTGGCATAAATATAGTCAATGTACAGTTAATGCACTGAACGTGGTGTCAACAAGCAGAGCACAAAGAAACCTCCCAATTACTAAAACAAAAAGACTTCTTAAAACTAATAACAGGGGGATCAGCAGTTAGCATAATGGCTATGTTACTGGATTCCCATGTAGTCGACCACAGTTCGAGTCCCAGACCCGGTGGCTGAAACTCACGCCGGGCGTGTGTGCATGTGTGCCCAAGATCCCAAGAGGAGAATGGAGGAGAAGGGATTGCGGCGTGGCCATCCCCCCTATGGGGTGATTCTTGCTTTCTATCTCTCTGTCTCTCTACTTCTGGCGAGCACACGTGCCTATAGCAAAAACCTCTCAAAAAAAAAAAAAAATAGGTACCAGCAGATGGCATAATGGTTACATCACTGGACTTCCATGTAGTCAACCACGGTTCAAGTCCTGGACCCAGCAGCTTAAAACATACGCCGGGTGAGTGTGCATGCATGTGTGCCGGCTCAGGATCCAGAGAGGAGAATGGAGAAGGGACTGTGTTATAGCCATCTACCCTGGGGAATGATTCCTTGCTTTCTGTCTCTGGCGAGCGCAAGCACCCTATAGCAAAAATCTCTTAAAAACAAAAACAAAAAAACTTATAATAAAAGGGACCAGCAGATAGTATAATGGCTACATCACTCAACTCCCATGTAGTCTACTATGGTTTGAATCCTGGACCCAGCAGCTTAAAACTCATGATGCGCTCGGGAACAGCAGATGGTGTAATGGCTGTGTCACTGGACTCCCATGCAGTCGACAGTGGTTTGAGTTCCAGACCCAGTGGCTTAAACTCATGTCGGGCGCATGTGCGTGCCCAAGATCCCAAGAGGAGAATGGAGGAGAAGGGATTGCGGCATGACCATCCCTGGGGGGGGATTTCTCGCTTTTTGCTTTCTGTCTCTCTATCTATATCTTTCTGTTGCGCGCACGTGCCCTTACAGCAAAAATCTCTCAAAAACAAAAACTCATGACAGGTGCATGTGCACACATGCCTAATATCCCAAGAGGAGAATGGAAAAGGGATTGTAGCATAGTATCCCCCCCAGGGGTGTGTGTGTGTGTGATTTCTTGCTATTTCTTTCTATCTCTCTGGCTAGTACACGAGCCCTATAGCAAAAATCTCTCTAAAAAATATATTTTTAAAAACTTGTAATAAAGGGACCAGCAGGTGGTATGGTGGTTAAGGCACTGGATACTCCCACGTGGCCAAACACGGTTTGAGTCCTGGACTTGGTGGCTTTCTCTCTCTCTCTCTGTCTCCCTCTGGTCAAATGAAAACAAATGATGAGTAAATAAAATTAAAGAAAATAATTAAAGAAAAAAAGATGTGGCTTTAAAAAAAACTGGTAATAGGGACTAGCAGTTAGCATAATGGCTATGTCGCTGAACTCCCATATAGTCGACCGTGGTTAGAGTCCCGGACCCGGTGGCTTAAACTCACACCGGGCGCATGTGCGTGTGTTCCCAAGATCCCGAGAGGAGAATGGAGGAGAAGGGATTGGGGCGTGGCCATCCCCTCTGGGGGGTGATTTCTTGCTTTCTGTCTCTCTGTCTCTGTCTTTCTGGCGAGCCCATGCGCCCTATAGCAAAAACCTCTCAAAAAACAAACAAAAAAAACCCCACTTGTAATAAATAAGACTAAAGGGAAGTAAATATGAATTTTAATTCTGTTCAACATAATATTAGAAAGCTTAAATAAATTTTATATTAAATGACCTCATTTCTTCTTAATAAAATCAATGATTAGTAACTGACTCAAATTTTTAAAATGTAGACTACATAGTAATTGATAATAAGAGTTTTTATTTCAAGCAGCCATTTTTACACACCCACAGTATCAAAATATCCTGTTTTGACAGTGAGATGAATCTGGAAAGCCACAGGAGAGGACGATGGCAAATGGAGACAAATGGAAGGAAGCAGCAGGGAGGAAAACAACATAGTTTGTTTGTGCAGTTAGAAATAGGGGTAATAAAGAGCAAGGAACTGCCCTATTGATATGCACTGGGCTCTCAAGCATGAGAGTGGGGATGAGTGGCTAGGTGAAGTCACTTAATGTTAAAAAAAAAAAATACCTGAAAAGCCTGTCGAATACAGTGAAGTTTGGCAAGAAAATCACTGTCTCCTAGGCACTCCAACATTTCAGTTCTACGTAATAAACAGGGGAGACAATTATTAAACTACATTTAAGATCAAGCCTACCACAAATCTGGACTTACAGAAGGCTTAACCTCAGGACTGTAATATAAAGCACAGGTCTTTGCAATACCAACTAATCATGTAAAATAGTTTTTTCTACTTGAATCTAAAAATGCATTTTTTTTCTATTCCTGAAAACATTTTAAATATCACACAAACATAGCAATAGCACCTTACAATTTTTTACAATCATAAGCAAAATTTAAATCTTACCTTAGTACTCTTGAATAAATTTTTCCTTCTTCAACTAAATGCATGGCTTCTTCATAAAAAGGGCAGTGGCAAAGAGACTCCAGGCTATAGGTATGCCGTACTTCTCTGTGTTCTGTAAGCTAAAAATACAGTGGGGTGAGACACACTATTCTGATATAAGGACAAAAACTACAAAATAAATGGGATTTCATTTATACCAAAATATACTAAATGTGATTAGTTAATAAAAATCATTCAATAACACATTACAGCTAATAAGATTTTACCTCAGATTATTTCAAAATTCAGTTGTTGGGCTGTTCCATAGTGCAGTGTTGAAACACTATGCAGTGGGAACTGGATCCCACATGGTCAACTCTGGTTTGAATCTTGGCCCTGGTGGCTTGAAAAACATGCAAGGTACATGTGCATGTCCAAAATCCAGACAGAAAGGAGAAATGGAGGAAAGGGACTGTAGCCTGACCACGTCTCACTAGGGAGTGATTTCTCTCTCTTGTCTGGTGAGCATACATACCCTCAGGCAATTTAAGAGAAACAAACAGAGTGTCCCATATGGCCTTATCTTCTGCAGAAGCAGCATCTGCAAGCATACACCATGATTTGAACCGGCTCTCAAACCGTGCACTCAGTCATGTGGGATCCAGTCACCTTAACCACCACACACCTGGCTGGCCTGCTACACATATATCTATACAAAAATTTACACAGTAAGACTCGTGGCGGTCTTATTCATGATAGTCAAAGAGTGGGACAACCCAAATATCCATTGGTTGTAAGGACTGGAGGAACAAAATGGAACATCCATAATGGAATTTTATTCAGCTGTTAAGTGAAACTAAAGTACCTGGGCTGGCCCCATAACCTAGTGGTTAAGGGAGTGGGGTCACTGAGACCAGCAGGTGGCATAATGGTTACGTAGCTGGATTCCCACGTAGTCTATCGCAGTTTGAGTCCCGGACCCAGTGGCTTAAAACTCACTCCAGCCACGTGTGTGTATATGCCCAAAATCCCAAGAGGAGAATGGAGAAGGAATTGTGGCATGATCATCCCCCCGAGGGATAATTTCTTGCTTTCTATCTGTCTCTCTAGCGAGTGCATTTGCCCTATAGTAAAAACCTCTCTCTACAAAAAAAAAAAAAAAAAAAAATCAAGGGAAAACATAGTTGCTAAAAGAGAGTAATGTGGCTTAGCTGCTGTCGTACAGAGGTAAATCAAGTGCCCTACAAAGCTGGAAGCCACAAGGCCAACAGTAGGTTCAGGTCTCTGGGCTGTCTAGGACACATAGCAGGCATACACAGGATCCTGGGTACCCAGTATCCAGAGGAGTTGGAGGGCTAGGAAAAGAGAATCGTGAAATGACTCTCTTTCTATCAATACTCTGTCAGGAGTGTTTCTCTCTTGCACAGGCTATCATTTAAAAAAAAGGCAAAACTTCATACCAAGCTTGGGCATCAAAAATGTCCACAGAAAAGCAATATCATAGTTCACCAATAAGAATAACTAAAGAGTGAAGAAAGCCAGGCTATGAAGGAGAGACATTGTATGTCCCCACTTAATATATACCGAGTGTCCGCACTCTGTTACTGAAACTGATTGACTAAAGGATATAGAAACACAGTAAATGGTTGGGAATACCAGATATAGTGTGGGAAGAGGATGGGTGAAAGAGTAGAGTCTGAGGAAGGACATTTAGAAGAAAAAGAGGGGCAAAGCATTAATGGGACAAAGAAATGGGGTATTATCGGTTGAAGATAACTTTATAGTATTACCAACTGGACTAGGGAGAAATATACACATGCTGGAATATTCACTTTGTAAGCTAAAAAACGTCACTGAATGTATAAAAGAACTTGAAATAAAAAATAAATTTAAAAAATTTAAAAAGAGTAACTGAAGAGGAAGCTCTATTGAGAAAAGAAAAAAGAGAGGAGGATTTTATCTTCCAAATAGTATTACAAAGTATTATAACCCATGATTGTAAAGGAAGCTAAATTTTCCATGAGTGTTGAAATATGCTCAATTTGACTATTCTAAGGAATTTTTTCTTATATGTAGCTTTGATAAATCTTTACATAACTGAAAAATAGCCTTGTGTTTCCAGCAAGCCTAACAACTCTACAAATGGAATTCTAGTCATCTGACAGTTCATTAAAAAAACAACTGCAAATATGATAGAGTAGCCAGCTAAGCAAAAGAGCTCTAGAGTAATTTTTATTTTCCATACGAGGTGATCTAGTTAATGGCACATGGTACTTTTTTGGTTTTTTTTTGGTTTTTAAAAGAAGTTTTTGTCTTAGGGCATTTGCACTCACTGGAGAGAGACAAGAGACAAGGAAAGGAAAAATGAGAAATCATCTCCTAGGGGAGACGGCCATGCAGCAATCCCTTCTCCTCCATTCTCTTCCTAGGATCATGGCCATGTATGCACACACACCCAGCATGAGGTTCAAGCCACTGAGTCTGGGACTCGAATCACAGTGAGCCATGTGGGAATTCAGCAACGTAACCACTACACCAACTGCTGGCCCCTTGTTTTTTTTTTTGTTTGTTTGTTTGTTTTTTAATAAGGGTTTGATAGAGATATGATTTATACCACAAAATTCACTCTTTTAAAGTAATTGTGGTTTTTAGTATATTTACAGAATTGTATAACCAGCACAACTTTCTAATTTCAGAAACATTTTTATCCTCCCAACCAGAAGTTAAACCTGGTTAGTTACTCCCAAATCCTCCTTCTCCCTAGTCCCTGGAAACCACTAATCTACTTACAATTTCTACAGTTTCCTACTCTAAAAAATTCATATAAATGGAATAAAAAGTGTGGCCTTCTATATTTTGTTTCTTTCACTTAGCAAAATGTTCTCAAGGTACACCCCTGATGTAGTATCATCAGTATTTATGTTTTAGTTGCCAGAGGGTGCATGTACTCACCAGAGAGATACAGAAATACAGAGAGAGAGAGAGAGAGGGAGAAAATCATCCCTCAATGGGATATGGTCACACGAATTATTAAACATTTCCATTTCTCCATCTCATCAGGATTTGTGTCATGGACGCACATGCTCCCAGTGCTTTACAAGCTGCAGAGGCAATGATTCAAACAGCAGTCAGTCATATGGGATCCTGCTCTCTTTTTTTTCTTAAAGAGAGATTTTTGCTATGGGGTGTGTGTGTTACCAGAAAGACAGAGGGACAGAAGGTGAGAAATCACCCCTCAGGATGATGGCTAGGCCGCAATCTCTTCTCCTCCATTATCCTCTCGAGATCTTGGGCACAAATGTACATATGCCTGGCATGAGATTTAAGCCACTGGGTCCAGGATTCAAACCATGATCGACTACATGAAAGTCCAGCAACGTAACCTTTACACCATCTACAGGTCTCAGGGACCCCACTCCCTTAACCACTAAGTTATGCGGCCAGCCCAAGTACTTCGCTTTCATTTAACAGCTGAATAAAATTCCATTATGGATGTTCCATTTTGTTTCTCCAGTCCTCACAACCAATGGGTATTTGGGTTGTCCCACTCTTTGATATCTTTGAATAAGACCGCCATGAATGCTTGTGTAAGTTTTTATATAGATACATGTGCAGCAGGCCAGCCAGGTGTGTGGTGGTTAAGGTGACTGGATCCCACACGATTAAGTGCACGGTTTGAGAGCTGGTTCAAGCAGTGGTGTGTGCTTGCAGATGCTGCTGCTCCAGAAGATGAATCCATATGGGACGCCTGGGTTGGACTCCCAGCCCACCTGAAAGCAGGGCATGGTGGTGTGTGTCTGCAGTCTTAGCTACTAGGAAGGCTGAGGCAGGAGGATTGCCTTAGAAATAACCAAAGTAATCCAAAACTTAGAATGGAAATTCTTTGGATATTAAAGATTTCAAGTATGTGTCACAGTCAAAAGAAATAGGATTCACACACACCTATTAGTAGAGAAAAATCTTAAGAAGGAAACTGGGGCTCCAAGTGAATTCTCTAACTAAAATAATTCATATTAATAAGAAGTGAACAGGTTCAATAATGAGAGATTCCCAAGTCTAGTCTTGATTTATTGGTCTACATTGCTTATTTGTTGGTTTGGCTGAAGTGATTATTTAAATAAACCTCCTAAAATAGGCCTGCAGCTGTGAAAATACATCATACTGAATATCTGATAACATTAAAAACAATGATAACTCAGAAACATTTATTTAAATCATTAATCTTAATTTTTTTATTTTTAATTTGCTAGAGGGTACATGTGCTTGCTGGAAAGAAACAGAGGGAAAGTCAAAGAGCACATCCCATGAGTGATGGCCACATTCCAACCCCTGTTCCTCCATTACCCTCTTGGGATTATGGGTACACACACACACACACACACACACACACACACGTGCGTGCACACGTCAGCATGTTTTTCAAGCTGCCTAGTCCAGGAATCGAACCATACAGTTGGCCATTTGGGATCCAGCCATCTTAACAGCCACACCACTGGCTGGCCCATTAATCTTAAAATTTTTAAAGAAAGAAAGAAATCACTAACATGGTGGCTTAAATCTCATTTAAAAATACATGCTACAGTGGGACCAGCAGTTAGTGTAATGGCTATGTCACTGGACTCCCATGTAGTTGACCACAGTTCGCCTCCCGGACCCGGTGGCTTAAAACTCACGCCGGGCCTGTGTGTGTGCGTGCCCAAGATCCCGAAAGGAGAATGGAGAAGGAATTGCGGTGTGGCCATCCCCTCTGGGGGGTGATTTCTTGCTTCCTGTCTCTCTGTCTGTCTAGCAAGTACACGTGCCCTATAGCAAAAACAAAAACAACAACAACACAAAACATGCTACAGGAAGAAGTTTTTGATAAAGTTCCCCAAAAGTTTCTAAATGATTTCATAAAAATATTATCATTTACTTAGAGCTGAGATGTTATTTCAGAAGAGTTCAACAATATGATTTAATTTTAGTTACAGTGAAAAAGAGTACCATTAAGAGTTCTTTTGTTAGCTGAAACTTGAAATGTACTGTAGTTCTAAATTATTCTTCTCCCAAAAAGAAATATGTCAAAAACTCATTTTCATACTTTTGAAAATACTACATTCGTTTACAGTAAAGCATCATCCTGTATCATTAATCTCCTACACTTTACCAGTACTATAACAATGACCTTGGAAAAATAGCAAATAAGTCAATGACAATGGAACAATAAACACAGACAGGGGCCGGCAGGTTGTGTGGTAGTTAAAGGAGCTGGATTCCCACGTGGCTGACTGCAGTTTGAGTCCTGGACCTGGGGGCTTGTTTTCTCGCTTTCTCTCTCTCTCTCTCTCCCTGTGTATCTCTGTCTGGTCAAGTTAAAAAAAAAAAAAGTAACAACAAATAGCAAATGAATTAAGTAAATAATTCTTTAAAAAATAAAAAATAAACACAGACAAAACAGGGCCAGTCTATGTATAGGGGGTAAGGTGGCTGAATCCCATATGGCAATTGCACAGTTCAAGTCCCAGAGCCGGTAGCTTGAAAAACAAACCAGGTGTGTGGGATTGTGTTTCCAAAATCCTAAAGGAGAAATGGAAAAAAGAGATCATAACATGACCATTCCCTATGGCAGATGCTCTCTTACTTTCTTTTTCTCTCTGTCTCTCTCAGGTAAGCACACATGATCTCTAACAAATTAAAAAATTTAAGAATTTATCTTGGAATAGTCACATTCTGAGATCACACCTATGCACCCTAGAAGCATTCCTAGGATGTTTCTTGGATAGTGAGTCCTTCCTGTGTATGTTCATGCGTTTTATTTTTATAGGATTTAAAAAAATTTTTTCAACTTTTGTAATTTATTTATTATCTTTATTCACCAGAAGATACAATATGCCTGTCAGCGAGCGAGAGACAAAGAGCACGTGCTCATGTATCCTGCAATAGGGAGTAGTCAGGCTGCAATCTTTTTTTCTCTGTTTTCTCATTCTGTCAGGATTTGGGGCACACACGCAGACATGCCCAGTGCGTTTTTCAGGCTGCTGGGGCTGGGATTCAAACCACTGATGGCCTTGTGGGATCTGGCTTTCTAGGCCTATGTGCTATGGGGCTGGCCCCGGATATTTGCATTTTTATGGTCGATTCTAGACATTAGATGCCATCTTTTTCAGATAAAAAGTACTGCAACTGATATATCAAATTATTCTCCAGTGTGGAAAGCTTTAGGTATTCCAATTTTCTGTACCTGGAGCATTCATTCTGCCTCTTTAGAAGCAGAACTGATCTATAATTTCTTTCATCAATATTTTTCAGTATGTATATTTTAGCCATTGCTTATAGTATTATCTTGTGAAAACATAGTGGTTTCTGGCAATTTTAAAAAATGCAAATATTCAGAAGCCAGCAGGCGACTTGGTGATTAAAGTGTTGGACTCCCACATGGCTGATTGTGGTTCAAGTCCTAGACCCATTGGCTAGCTTTCTCACTCTCTCTCTCTCTCTTGGTTTCCATCTGGTCAACTTGAATAATAATAATTAATTTTTAAAAATCATAATTGTTTTAATGCAAATATTCAGAGATAAAATTGGCATATGTAAATTTTATATTTAAATTTGTCCTATTTATTTATTTATTTGAGAGAAATTTTTCTATAAGGTGCATGTGCTTGTTGGAGAGACAGAGTGAGACAGAGAGATAAAAAGCAAGAAATCACCATCCCCCCCAGAGAAGATGGCCATGCCACAATCCCTTCTTTTCCATTCTCCTCTTGAGATTTTGGGTACGCACTCACTACACATGAGTTTTAAACTGCTGGGTTTGGGACTCAAACTATGGTCGACTATGTGGGAGTCCAGCAACATAACCATTATACCATCTGCTGGTCCCAGCATATGTAATTTTTAAAACTGTTTTAATGGAAATACTTGTAAAAAGACGATCTTTTCTAAGCAATTTCTTTTGGTACAAGTTAAATCTCAGTAGAAAACAAATTACTCAGAGACTTATAATTCAGTTATCACTACTGTTTACACATCAGTTTATTAATTAATTTATTTACTTACCTTTTTTTTTTTATTTGCTGTACGGCATACGTAGTTGCCAGAAACAGATGGGGGTTGAAGGGAGCAAGAAATCACCCCCTAGGGTGGATGGCCATGCCACAATCACTTCTCCTCCATTCTCTTGGGATTTCTTGGGCATGCATGCAGACATACCCAGCATAGCCCTCGAGCTGCTGGGTCAGGGACTCAAACCATGTAGTTGGACATGTGGGATTGACACACCTTAACCTCCATGCTACCTGCTGGGCCAACACTTGAGTGTACTGAAATATAGCTTTTTTCATCTGCTTATATTCTTATATAATATACCATACAAATGTTTTTCTTCTCTTTTCTTTCTTTTTTAGTTTTACAAAATTACGGTCATATACTGTATATAAAACTTTACTCTTTTCAGTCAACATATCTTTCTAAGCTATTAAACATTATTGGGAACATGAGGCCAGATGGTGGCATGGTGGCTAAGGTGCTAGATTCCACACAGCTGAGTCTGTGGCTTGAGGCCTGAACACGTGCATGTGTGTACTCAAAATCCCAAGAGGAAAATGGAGGAAAGGGGACTGCAGCATGGCCGTCCACCCCAGGGGATAATTTCTCAGTCTCTCTCTCTCTCTCTGTCTCTCTCACCCTATGGCAAAAAAATCCAAAAAAATACAAAGAAATAAGAAGATTTTCAACATGTTTTTAGTGCTATAATATTTCAAATTATGCACATACCACAGTTCGACATTTAACTCTTTTCAGTTTTTCATTATTATTAAAATGTCACAGTGAATATTTTTATATATAATCTGAATTTGATCACTTCCTTCCTAAATAGCTAGAAATATTAAGAAATATTAACTTTTCTAAAAAAATTATTTATTTATCTACTTATTTGTTGTGATTTTCAAGCCGCCTGGTCTGGGACTCAAACTGTAGTTGGCCATGTGGGAATCTAGCACTTTAACCACCATGCTACCTGCTGGCTTCACCCCAAAAAATCCAGACATTTTTAAGACTCTTCATAGAGGCTGAAAAATTCTCTCCATTAAGAAACTAATTTATGGGGCCAGCAGGTGGCATGGTGGCTAAGGGCGCTAGACTCTCACATGGCTGACCACAGTTCATGTCCCAGACCTGGTGGCTTGCTTTCCCACTTTCCCTCTCTTGCTGGCTCTGTCCCTCTCTGGTCAAATTAAAAAATAAGTAGATAAATAAATAAAGTTAAATAAGATCATTCTTAAAAAAATAAAACTATATGCCTAACCCATAATCAATAGCACATAAATGTACACATTTAAAATATGTGTTCACATGTCTACCTGCCTAAGGAGAAAATAAGCTCCTGTGGAAGTTTGTATCATCTTTATATCTGGTATCTACCACATGGTAGACGTTAAATGAGTGGCTACTGAACTAAATCACAGCACAGTGCAACACTACTCTCCAGCTAACACGAAAGAGAACACAGGTGTCCTACCTCTGCCGCTGAAGCAAAGGAGTCAGTTGATCCGATGCTCAAGGTATCTCTCAGGCCGAAGTCATCCATATTTCCCTTCATCGTGATATCTGTATCTTTATCTTTAAAAAAATGGTGAAAAGTTCAGAAACTGCTATTCCTTCTCATTGCCATGTTCACATTCTATAGCTTGACTTTGTTTTTCTTAGTCTTTTATGTAGGCTACTAAGATCTAAATGGAAAATGATATATTATCACTGGTATATAATTTGACAAGTATCACAAAATGTATCCATTGTTTAACTCTGAAAAAGTGCTAAGCAGAGGAGCTAGTGCTATAAAAGAGATACTCATTTTGTGAGTCAGGGCCAGCAGGTGGTGTGGTGGTTAAGGGTACTGGACTTCCACATGGCTAATTGTGGTTTGAGTCCCAGATCCAGCAGCTTCCTTTCTCACTATCCCTTTCTCTTGCTCTGTCCCTTTCTGGTTAAATTAAAAATAAATAAAGTTAAATAAAATAATAATAAAAAAAAGAAGTGACCAGCAGCTGGTGTGGTGGTTAAGGCACTGGACATGCCCATATGGCCAACCATTGTTTGAGTCCTGGACCTGGTGGCTTGCTTTCTCACTTTCTCTCTCTCTCTTTCTCTCTCTGTCTCTATCTGGTCAAATTAAAAGAAATAAATGAATAAATAAAATTAAATAAATCTTTGAAAAAAAAAGGGAGGAAGACATTTTTGAGTTTTTCAGGTTTTAAGGCCTACTTTAGAAAACTGAGCAGTCATAAGACGCAGAGGCAGAAATGTTGGGCTCCATAGTGATAGAGCCACATGGAAAACCATATTTTGGATCCTGGGTCAACATGAAACATGCCTGGTGCATGTACATGCCCCTATCCTAGCTGGCTGGAAGGCTTGGGGAAGAGGGTCACAGTACTATGAGACCCTATTTTGAGTACGTGTGCGTGCGTGTATACATGTGTGCTTGTGTGTGTGTGTGTATCCATTTCCTCTTTCCTTCGCTTATGGAGAAAATAAAATAAACAAACTTTACAAATAAAGACAAAACAGGAAATCAAGCAGAGAAAAAATATCAGATATAAGTACCTGGTGTTTACTCTGCTTGAGGGTCTAATATAACTGTCCGAATGATTTTAAAGGGCTAAAAAAGTTTAAATACTTAGGAAATGATTAGTCTGATCATATGAAAAGAATATACTTATTAACAATAACGGCATTCTAATTTTTTAAAAATTTTATTTAACTTCATCTATTATTTATTTAAATTTGATCTCCCTTTCTCCCTCCCTCCCTCCTTTCCTCCTGTCCTTTCTTTCTTCCTTTCTTTCCTTTTTCCTTCCTTCTCCTTCC